GTGTAGATTTTAGAAAGAAAATCTATACGAGAAAATTGTACTTAAATAATCTAGTTACTTCCGAATCAAATGTTTTAGTCTCGGGCAATCGTCGTTTCAAATTATCCTAGTCGTGGCACAGTTTTCAGAGCATTTACATGGTGAGACGTATTATGCAAATATATCAAGATATACCAATTTTCACTTGTAAAAATTATTATTTACTCATTTAGATTGAAATCATTCATCTACATTGTCCTTGCCATTCCATGATCAGAGAATTTGCTTAAAGCATTGCAATTTAACTGTAGTCATTATAAATGCGCAAAGGAGAAAAAATGCTAGAATTCAAATGAATTACGCAAACGAGATTGCATGAATGGCGCATCAAGAGTATCCTTGGTTTTATATAAAGAGTTATATGAAAGCTGGTATGGAAGGGAATATAATGTGAACGAAAAGAAAGAATCGAAGAATAAATTGCTTCGTAACAATTTTTGATTGATAGCTAACATGAAAATATTATCAACTTGAATAACGACAAACAATATATGTAATTCATCAAAAATAATTCAAACAAGTTTTGTCTTGACTTTGAAGGTGATGGAAAAAATGTCATTTTTAAAATAATCAACATTACGGGCAAGGAAAACATGAATTTGAAATTCAAAGAGTGTCTTATTTCTCATGATTTGATTCATCATCATTTTATCAACAAAACACTATGCAATGAATTTCAGGCTATGTTCTGCGCGGTGAGAAAGCTATATATATACAGGGGGAGGAAAAAGTTTTAAGCCTAAATTGTATAAAATAAGTATTAATAAAAAAATTGAAGTAAGTCGTGAATTATTCGGCATATTTTGAGTATGGTTTAATGAGCTATTAAATATTTTTGAAACAAATAATTAAATATTAAATTATATTATAATATTGATAAATTGTTGTACATGTAATGTAAATAAATTCATAGTTATAGGCTTTATAAATAAAACGTACTGCAAAATCAAGTCAGTCATTGGAAGTTATCGGAAGTGCTTGAGCTTAAAGAGCGAAATAAAGAAATCTAACACAAAAATGACTTTGAATATTTTCAAAACGTGTATCGATAAAATAAAAAAAATCAAACAAGACTATTTGGCCAAGAGTCCACACGAGAAATGGGAATTCATTCGAAACGCTAATATATTTCCATTGAAGTTTATCGGTTGTGACATAATGAACCCAAATTACAAAATGAATGCCAAAAGTGGCATTATAGGATTTCTTGCGATCAATTACTTAACCCAAATGTTCTATACATTGTACTACTATCAAGATAAACCACTCAAGGCTTTGCGATCAACACCTCTGCTTGGTAAAGTTATTAAATTAATTAAAAAGATAATTTATAATATTTATTTATTTATTTATTTTTCTAGGGATGTTAATTCCAGTAAGCTCTTGGCTATAAGATTAAGGAAGAGTTCTTTATTTTAGAACACTTTAATTTTTGTCGTTTCATTCATTTCAGGGCTTAATTCTGTATACACTTGCAATGACATCGTCCACTCGTAAAATATTCATACGAATGTACATGTTTTCGGGCAATTATATTTATGCGAATAGTGAAACTACACCAAAAACAAACGCTGTTTGTGACGAAAAAGCAATTGAGTTACTAATCAGTACAATCAGAATTGAAATTATCATTATCGTTTCAATGTTTTTGATGTACTGCGTACCAATATATAACATTTTATTCCGAAATGAATACGATGTGATTATACCAGGTCATAGCCGGCGTAATTTAAAAACATACACATAAATAATCATTGTACAATTACATTTATTTATTTATAGTCAATTTGCCCTTTGTTGATTTTCAAACTGCGGGTGGATTTTATGCAAATATAGCAAATCAAATATTCTTTTGTGTGTACGCTATGCTTGGCAATACGGGAATTGAGCTCGTTACATGCGTTGTGAAAAATACAGTTCTGGTAACCGCAGCCGTTATAAAGAATGATTTTCTCGAATTTATTGACATTTTACAGCAAAAGAAGACGTTTTCATCGTCCGACGCAACACAGTTCAGAAATATTATTGTCAAAATCTCGGATTTTGATCGATTTATCACTGACTTCACTGATTTGTACTATTGGAAAATGCTTGTAAACAGAATTTTAAAAACATCTACCGCAGTGGGATGCCAACTAATCATTCCTCTTATTTTTAAGGTACAACCACCATTCCTGGTGTATACGGTTTCCGCTTCAATATTTCTCTATTTAAAGGTAGAAAATTACCTAATAGTAAGTTATTCATGAATATTAGAGTAATAGTCGTTATCGTTCTTTTTTCATTTTCAATAGGATGGTTGGTATGTTTCACATATTATCCACATATATTCAAATATGTTTGTTCTATGCTCAGTAGGCGCTACGTTTATGCTAAGAGCAGAGCTGCTCTTCGACTCTGTATATAGAGTGTATCACAGAGAGCACAATGCATTCTCTGTTCAAATTCATACGCTAACATATTGCTGAAAGTTCGATTCTACGTTTCAGGGGTGCAGGTGTTGGTTCTGCTGCTTGTTGCTACATTCAGCTTATAATTCTTTGTGAAGGTAAAAAGTTGTGCGTTCGATTACGAATATTCGAGTAATTGTAAGTTTTTCTGTTTTTATTCTTTGGCAGTTGGACAAACGGTGGCTGATGCAGTAATTTAAAATGTGACATTTGTTCAAAGTGAAAATGATTTAAACACTTTTTTTTTCCTTTTTTTATAGAATCGTACAATTCTTCGTACTTTAAACGATTTTCCAACATATTTGCTGCCAATTGAGAAACAAAAATTGTTGATATTGGTGTTAAAACGTATGCAAAATGGTAATAAAATTCGGATGGGTCCATTTGCAGGTATTATTTGAAAATATTATATTTGTTTTATTATTTGAAGTACATGGTATATGGTTTTCAGAACTCAACTATGAAAAGGCAACCGACGTGAGTCCAAATTAACCGATTAGAATAAATACATTTCAATGATTCAATGATCCACTTTTTTTCTCAGCTGACAAAAATGATTTATACATACCTGATGTATACGTTGCGCATGTAGATTACAAAATCATCATTTCCACATTGTGCAGCACTTTTCAAGGCGAATTATCTCTTTCAATAAGTTTTTAGAAAATGTAGTAGTATGAATTCACTTGCTGAATTCTTGATTCAATTAATAGAAATAGAAGTGGTTGTCCACACGTCCATATTTTCATTTACCAATAACACCTCTAGCAAAATTGAGTGTATTAATACAACGAATAATAAAATAAAATGGCTAATTTCTCTAAAATTCGAAAGAAGCAAGCAATTTGAACAAGAAATATAGTTTTTTTTCTTTGCCTTCAATTTTCTCTGATTTTTTCAAGTATTGTTTACATACTTTAATTGCTTACTATCTGATTTGCAATCCAATTGAAACAGAAAGCGCACATAAATTTCATTTCATGGTTAATTCTTGCTCCTTGTTCTCTGGTCCCAGGACTTTTTATACGTTTACGAGTTTCATTGATAAGCCGTGGGTGGAAATCAATACATGAATGTGTATTTCAGTTGGTTGCAGCAAATGGTGCTTTTATGCAAATGTGATCGACGCTTGCTTTTGCATTTTCAATCCGGTCGCGTACACACCAAACCGCACATTCAAAACAAATATATAATCGTTTTGTTTTTGTTCATACACATGTATTTTTTTTTCACAATCACTTGCACTCTGTGGAACATGGCATTTTACTTTTCCGCACACACCTAGTGTGTAAGGTAAAGTATTGGAATCGGTCGAAAAATTAACACCCATCAAAAATGTGTTTTCTGGGTGTTTTTGGGGTCAGGCAACACGAATCTAGCGTTTCTTCAATGTCCGAATGTATGTGCGTAGCCTGTACCCAGTACGCTGTACCCTGTACGCAAAAATTTGTTAACACGATAACTTTCAAACAAGAAAAGTAATTCAAAATCTGACTTCACAGGATGATTGGGGGTGCCGAGCAATAGAAACCATTAGATTTTGAGTGACTTTGGTTGACAGGGTAAAGTGTCATGTCTGGTGTGATGCCCATGGCCATCCATGGGAAAAATTCAATTTTTCTTCCAAAAGTGATATTTTATGTATTCTTAAACACTAAAAAATATGTATTGGGGGGTTTTTGGGTGCGAGAAAACCGAATATGACGTTATTTTTGCGATACAAATACATTTCGACACACTTTTCATACAAAAATTTCAAAAAATTTGGATTTTTGTATGACAGCCATGCCTGTATGATATCGTAATGAGCTGAAACTTTGCATAGCTTATTTTTTCACAGATTTCAATGCATAATAGAGGTACCTCCCGAACAAAATTTTGGATATTTTGCTTAAAAAGCGAAAATTTTGTATGGAAGGTACCACTCAATTGTATTGAAATCTCTTCAAACTTTCAGAATGTTAGCTTTTTGTGAAAAGAATAACATTTGCAAATCTTCACATGATTACGATATCATACAGGCATTGAAAAGTCTATCAAAAATTATTCGTATCGCAAAACTTATATCAGATTCAGTTTTCTCATGAATTCATATTTACGGTAAAAGATACGTAACAAATGCATGTTGTGGATCACAGTGCGGAAAAGTTCATCTTACGGATGTAAGATATTTTATTTTATATGATTTATTTTCTAATACAACAAATAAACTATGTAAAAAACTCTGCGTTTCACTTATATGGACTCAAATTATTTTTTATTCTGACCCATTCATTTTTCATTAACATCAGTTCACATAAATTTTGTCCGAGCTCCGAGAATCGAAAGAGTCCGACCACCAATCCGATCCGATCCGAAATTATATCTTAAATGTGATTACATTATGCTGTTGAGAATGTCTCTTGAAGAGTCTTTTCCTTTGGGCGAATTTAAATGAACAGAATCCAATTGAGTTTAATGGTGATTAATGAAGAAGCAATTTTTAAGTTTTCTTTAATTTTTTGCATTTATTTATTGATATACATTATGAATTTAATAAACAATTGGTCAACAATGATTTAAAACAATAAAAACAATTAACATTGATTTTAAATCTTTTCGTACATTTTTCAGTTGTATTTAATCAGTCTGTCCGGGTGATAATTACCATCCACCTGATCCTGATTGCCATCCGGAGTCTGAACCACCTCCTGATTGCCATCCGGCTCCTGAACCACCTCCACCACCTGATTGCTTAATGACTTTGATAATTTGTGGGGCTGAATGTCCACCTCCATGACCACCGTGTCCACCGTGTCCACCGTGTTCTTCGATTACCTAGAGTTATAAGAGCGTGGTGTAATCGAATGTTTCAAAAGCATTTTTGAAAGTACTGTAATTTGTAACTCACTTTAACAATTTTAACGGGAGCTGGAGCTGGTGCTGAGTAACCGCCATGACCTCCATGTCCTGATTGTTTTTGTACAATAACTTTGACAACTTGTGGTTCAACCATATGTCCTCCATGAGATTCTTCTTCGATCACCTGAATTTAAAAAAATATACATGGTAAAATCGTGTGTTCAAACATTCCAAAATATAATCTCTTTTTAAATACAGCAATTTGTGACTTACTTTAACGATTTTAGCTGGTGCTGAGTGACCACCGTGACCACCGCCATGACCATGTCCGCCGCTTGCTTGTTTAAGAATAACTACCTGTTTGTTCATAAAAGTTTTGAAATTTTAGTTAAAATTCACCGAAAAAAACACAACACTCTGTCTTTTCATACTTGTTCTTCTTGATGACCTCCATGGCCAGCGTCATAACCGCCATGACCTCCACCGCCACCATGATGAGCCTAAAAATAATCCAAATTGAATTGAAAATTATCAAAATTCAAGTATTTGGAATTCAATCAGCTTCGAAAATGTGTGAATTCGCAATAGATTCATTTCATTTGATTGGAATATTTTTGTACCTCTTCTTCAACAACTTGAACGATTTTGATTTCTTGAGCTGGAGCTGAATGTCCACCTCCATGTCCACCTCCATGACCACCACTGTATCCACCGTGTCCGCCGTGTCCGCCGTGTCCCCCATGACCACCCTAAGAATTGAAAAAAAAAGACACAACTTAGATGCTGCACATTTAATCGGAGATTCTGTGGATTGGCTTACTTGTTCTTCAACAATTTGAACAACTTGAGCAGCTGGTTGAGGAGCTGAGTACGAGTACTAAACGAAAATAAATAATAGTGTATGGTTTAGTAAGCAAACTATTTCATATAGTTTTGATTGCAACAAATGACAAAAGTGTGTCTTTGTTTTTTTCGAAAATATTTATTGAACGTACACCGCCGTGATCGCCGCCGTGTCCACCACCGTGTCCACCGCCATGCTCTCCGGTAAGGAAGCCAGCTGTTGCACAGCTTACAATAGCAAGAACACAGATGAATACCTTTGAGAGCACAAAATAAAATCAATTAATTTTAAATTACTTCAATGTTTGTTTTCTCTTCACAAAAATCTACTCTTATTTTGCCAATCACTTGACTTTTATTTTTCTTTTCAAATATAAAACACTATTTTGCGCACCTTCATTTTTGAATGATGTGTTGAGTTGAACAAATCAAAAGCAACTGATGATTTCTGATCCTGCATCAGCTCTCTTTTATACTACTTTGGAAATGCATCAAAATCCCATTTTACATAATTGATGAAATAGAAATTCAATGGTCAACGTTTTTTATGTTCACATCCAAAACGCATATTTCCAAACATCCAACGAGCGTTGCTTTCGATAGACAAGTGAAAGACAACAAAAATTACTAATTCATGCAGCGAAAAAAAAAACTGGAACATCAGAAAGCCAAAGATAAATTCACATGTATGATTTGCATAATATTCGATATTGCATCTGAAATTCAAATTGGAATCTTGAATCCAAAGACAGCCAGCAGTTTTTATGCATTTCGGCATAATGCTTTTGTGTTTTTGTCTATTTTTGATATTTAAAGCTCGTCTTATGTGGTGGCAACAATTAGTAGTGATAGGTTCAAATCGGGTCGGACTGTCATTTGGTGATGTGATTTTGGATACATACATAATTAGTCATTTCGAACATACATATTATAAAATAAAATAAATAAAACTGAGAGCGGTTATTGTTTCATGGTCCATATATGAACCGTTGAGAAACATAGATACCTTCAGTAAAGTTCACCATAAAACTGCAACATGTCCATACAAAATATGTTTCTCAACGGTTCATATGAACTTCCGTGCAATGTTTCTATGCATACATCAGTTTTCAGCGCAATTTCGTTTCAAAACTTTGTGAGAAAAATTGCATTAAATGTCAAAATCGCGATTGAAATGGTACACCCATTCTTTAAACCGTTAACAATAAACAATAAACCACGGAAAGAAATTCCATAAAAAGTCATTACATTGCTTGACATTTCTTCGCCATTGGCTCTTTTTCGGTTTTGAAAGTATCTATCGCCCACATTTTTCAACAAACCGAGAAACGTGCATCGCCAAATCTGAATAAATATTGATGCATTTTTTGCGCTATATTAATGTGTTTTTGATATATAGATAACACTTTTTTGCTTTAAATTTACGCAATTCCAAGCTGATGGTTTCTCTTGTCTAAACCTCATTTCGTATGACATTCAAACCAAATAATTGGTTAACGTTTTTTTTTTGTCTTAAACCTTTTTCTGGTCACTGAATACAGACAGTTTTCACCAACACCAGACAGTTTATTCAATACGTAAACTTGTGTGATAAAAAATACGATATGATATATGTAAATGAATGAAATAAAATAAAAAGAAAGCGAATTTCAATTAAAACTTTATGGAGCGGAAGTTTTTTTTTCGTCAACAAAGAATTAAAATTATGCAGACGCTTAAACGTTATATAGCGGGAGGTAAAAGCAAATAAGCTGGGAGGGGGGAATCTAACATAAACTTTGTATTATCAGCAGGTGAAACAAAAACTCACATTCTATTGCATAACGTTGCCACGCGCGTGCAAAAAGTAAAACGATTCATGTGTATCAGCAGCGATGATGAAGATTCGATCAAAGAGAATAAAGAGAAACAACAACAATGATAACAAAGAAACAAAAAAATTGTCTAGTTGTCAAATCCATGGCGTTTACGATTTGAGAAAAGTCAGTTTGAATACAGCATTGAATTATTAAGCAGTTCACGGGCTTGTGCTCATTTTTTTTCTTCTCCAACATTAATTAACTGATTGTGTTCAGTTCCAATACATTCACAAATTATCTACCGATAAAAGTGGTTTTATTACAATTTTATTCGTAATACAATGTATTTACGTACAATAATTTAAAAAAAAAAATTATAAATAAATTCCTACTTCGATAAATTAAAAACAATTTTGTCATATATAAAACTTGTATAAAAAAAAACTACACCTGATGTAGAAGTCAATTTTAAATGTGGAAATTCTTTGGTTGTTGAATTCGCACTATTTGTTAAACAAATGTTTCTTTCTTTTGAATGAATACGGTTGATGCATATATTCGATTCACATTTCCATCTGCATCGTTCCAAATACATGCTGGGTCTTCCGAACTTTGATTCCACGTCGTTTTTTCCATTTCATCGATAGTTTGTTTAAACTTTCGATAAAAGTTCACGCAAAATATGTAATAGATTAAACTAATGCCTTTAAGTAAATAATCAAACATTTATGTCAGTTTATCCAGATTTTTGAAGAATTTCAATTTCTTTCATTACCAAATACAGTAGATGCTATAAACAGATTTGCAGTGTTCTCTCTCCGGTTGATGTTGTCTTCAGTGAATATTCTATTCAAATTTCGATTTATATGAATTGATTGTTTAGAATGGTTTTTGTCTGTTTTGAACCAAAAATGTTGGTTTGGACTTACCCATATCCATAAAAAGCAAAAAGACATAGCAAAATAAGCAAAGATATACTCCAAACAATTAACGCGGCAAGCATGAAATTGGCACGTTTCTATATTTGAAATATATAACAATTTTGGATTATGTTCTTTTTAATACGATTGTAAATATCGTCTGGTGTTGACTCAAATTTGAATTTCGATTACCGAGCTGATTCCATACAACCAGAATGCACTGGCTATTAAATTTGGAGCTGGAAGAAGCAAATTGAATCGAACAATGTTTGAGTATAATTAGAGAGAGATGAATTGGAGAAAAGTATAATTGTTGTTTAATATGCGCACTTTTAGTTACACTCGTTTTTCTCAACCATTTTTTTCGCATTTTTGATTAAATTTTAACTTACAGCAGATGAGTCCGAAAAATCCCAGTGCGAAGCATATTATTGCGTACACAATTATTCCCAACCATCCCATCGCCTTGGCACACGATTTCCAATCCAATCCATTTAATTGCGTATGACTCATTTTGTAATTGTTTATTTACTCACTCAACCTCAAACCATTTGATAAGATAACCTTTTGAATGGAATTTCTAAATTTTTCGAATTCACAATCGACTGAGTCATTTGAATTTCTCACTCTGGTTGCAATGAATCGAAATGTGTTAAATTTTAAACAAACAAACTATTTCAATTTTTATTCAGAAAAAACACCGCTGTAGAGGTGTACTATTTCACATGATAAAATCGGTATTACTAAACTTTGACCAGTTTTTTTTGGCAAAAAAGTCGAAAGTAAGCCACAAACAGCAACCAAAAAAATAATGCGACTCCGTTAGCGGCAAAGACAATACTACGTGTGGCAGTCACCGTATATACAAAACTTCTCTATCAGAGATAGCACAGATATGATAAGAAATAATCACAATTTTTTCTGTAAAAGTCATAAAACATTCATTTAAAATAAAATCGAATAGAATTTTGGTGTGAAGCAAAACAATTTTATTCAAAAAGAAAATTGAAGTGATTTGAAGCACATACATTAACCTTGAGATTCTGTTTTTATTGTCTATTGAATAAATTCTTGACCATTACACATTTTGATCAAATTTAAGCTCTTTGTAATCAATGTCAATTTCAGCTGAAGCAACCGAATACGCGACATTCAATCGATTTTGTTCAATGACCACTTTCAATTTTTGGTAACTCTTCACAGCGTAATAGAAATAAATCAAACTAAACACTGAAAGTTTATTAAATATTAAGTAAGAATTTGTTATGTTGAGTCAATAAACACGTACCCAATATGAACATTGCGACAGAAAAAATTGAAAAGATATTCTCACGATCTGAGTCATTTCCAATCAAAAGTAGTCTGAAAAATTTGAAAATTGTTGGAAATTGAGTGAAATAAAGCCAAATACGAAATAAAAATCAAAAATTACCCAGGAATGGCAAGTATGACTATGAAAAATATCCAAATAAATAGTTCTATTGCCCAACAGATCAGTGTTAAAGCCATTAATTCCGGTCGGTTCTATTCAAATTTAAGAAGAGAGATTTCATACCATTATCATTGATACATTTGAATATATTATGTATACCAAGGCAACGCCCATCAACCATACTGTGCTCGCTATTGCATTTAAGACTGAAAAATGAAAAAAAAAACTTTAAATATGATGTTCATCTGTACTATTTCATATCGATCTTACTAAATGTGCAGATCGTAGCATAGCTCAAAATGTTACTCTCAATACCACGAAATAAAATCAAACATAATACATTCAATCCAATTCCCAACCATCCAATTTCTTTGCTGCAAAATTTCCATTCGCTGTGTTTTGACTGTGTTTTTGCCATTTTTTATTGAGCGAAACTCTGAAATGAAATTAAGACGAGACACAAAACTGTTAAGTAGCAGCAACACTTTGCATACACTGTTTGGACTTAAATATATGCCAAAAACAGATTTTATGCGATAAAAAGTCTTTATTAAGATACAATTGATAAGATAATTTTCGGTGCCTCTGATTTTAGTTGAATACATTCGGAACTCGCCACTCACAGTGTGTAATATTGTAAAATTGATTAAAGACTCTTGAATGGAATCAAGTATTATACGTTTATAAAACAAATTGACTTAATCAATATGGCAATGAGTTTTGGCGCCTTTGAATAAACATTTTGTTCTTTTTATGAAAATCGAATTTCAAAATGAAAGTAAAAAAAATATATTTAATTTTGCTCCAAATCGAAGGAAAAAGCACACAGAAGCAAATATTTTATTATTTTAAACTTTTCAGCAAAAAATAAACATACAGCAGTTTTGTCAGTCTATCGAATTGCGACTGATGCTTAAAACGATGCTATATCGTCAAAAACCACAGTAGCCAACTGTGATATTGTAAAAAAGTCAAGTGTTAATCTACGATATAATACAGTGTAAACACCATAAGATAATAACAAGCGATTTAAGTTACAAATAGATTTGCTCTTTCGATAACTACCTGTGGACACCAAACCGAGTTTATTGACACAATTCATTTGATTCAAACATGAAACATTTTGATGCTGTATACGTAAAATTAATTGAAAAAATATGCTCCATTTTATTACAAACGAAATGAATAATGCTTAAAAGTCAAAAGATGAAATATGAACCGAAAAAATGATTAAAAATGTCAAATAAATCTTACAAAGTCATTTAAATAGAAAATAGCTTAATTGAGTATCGTTTGAAATTCATTGAAATCTCCAGTCCATACATCGTATACAATTTATATTCAGTTAGACTGCCGTTTCTGGATTTTTATGGACACGTTTTATTGATCTATAGCAAAATATTGCGATGACATAAGTGCACACCCAATAGTCTGAAATAGATTTTATGAAAAATGAGGTCAAATAACATTCAATAGATCTGGCTAGCCAGTAGCCGCTATGTTAGATGTATCTAATCTAAAAATCCATTCGAATGTGCTTTTGTGTGCGAGTGAAAGTGAGAAGCTAAAAAGAATATTCAAAACATCACTTTCTTTCACTCTCATGCAAATTCGTTTCAAATTTAGCTTCGATTGCTGCTATTTATCAGACATTAGACTCGAGCTATGCATATAGCGGCTGCTATTTTATAGGTGCTATTCATAGGCGCTATTTAATTCGTGTGCTGTGTGTTACACCGAGTAGGAATATCATAGCCTACTATTCTTTTGTACATTTGAATGTGAGTACGAGAGAGATGTAGAAAATAACGCACAATATGCATAAATGCATTGAAACGAGATAAATAGCGCCTATGAATAGCGGCCATGAAATAGCAGCCGCTATATCCATAGCTCAAACCTAATGTCTGCTATTTATGAATAAATCCAGCCAATTCTTATTCTATGGTCAAAATATCGATAGTTTCTTATTTATTTTACCAATTGCAAGTAAGAAGTACATTTCTCGTTCGTGTGACCTTGATGTCTCTCCATGAAATGCTGTTGGCAGATAGGAATAAACGCACACAAACACCAGAATCAAATTTGTTCCCCACCTAATCGTATGAGGAAAGAAATTAACATAATAAACTTTGTAAGACACAATTTCGATATTTGAAACACCCACCAAACCAATGAAGCCAACATAAATTCGGGTTTATTCTGGAAGAAAAAAAAACACATTTCACAAATGAAATAAGAAAAAAAAAGAATTTACCAACTCGATCGACCCCAAAAATCCATGAGTAACTAGCTACCAAATTCAGCGCTAAAAAGACAAACAAATTCAGTTTGTAAATAAACAATATTTTTTTTTGAGCAACTCACCAGGCAGAAATGGAATAATCGTTTCATGGAGACTCTTGCCAAAACGTTGCCCAGGATGTTCACATAGTCCATAAATCAGTAAACCACTCAATAAGACGCCAAACCATCCGATAATCAGACTAACGATTTTACAAAACCGCCAACCACAACAACAAGACTGCTTTTCGTCCATCTTGTGGGTGTGCGTGTGGAGACTCACGACTATAAAATAACGCTGTATTTGAAATGAAATAATGGATTTTTTATAACTTTAATAATGAAACAATAATAATATGAGATTTTTGCAAAACTATTCTGGAATTTTAAGAAAAAAGTTCTTTGCGATTTGATACGGTTTAAAAGTACACACATTGGGTGTGTGGAAAAGTAAAATTCTTCAATACCACCTTCAGTTGACTTTTATGTTTGTTATTTATCCTTCAAACACAGCATGGAACTTTTAAGTGGAGTGGGCAAAGCGGATGAAAAGTCACAGTGCTTTTTGTACATCATTTTTCTTTGAATATTGGCTCATGGTAAAGCATCTTCCAAATGCTTTTTCATACACGAATATTGTCATTTTGCTCATTATTTGAAATTAACTCTTTTAATATCATGTTGAATTATTCATGAGTAATTTTTGACATTTTTTTTTCAAAGAGAAATCAACGAATTAAAAAGAAATCGATTTTCTCACTTTTTCCAGTCAACATTTTGTAAAAACACAAGTTTATTATATTTTTAAAAATAGAAAGAAAAAAATGAAGAAAAAGTCGAAAAACTCACTGTAAATGTGACATCCAAAATGTACAACCAAGCAGAAGATGAATAGAGATGTGCCTTATAGCACAGCAAATGTTGTACTGCGTCAAAAAAGTAGTGGCGACAGTCTCGCATCGTAGATGTATAACAAACACATTGATTGTATCGTAAACTGGAGCAATAGCCGGTAAGCGGTTCGTACATGAAGCGTGTTCACATGATCAACAACATATCTACATGTATTGAATGGCATCAATCCAGTTGAATGTAAATAGTGAAGCATATTAAATAAGAAGAACGCTGCTGTCATTCAGTTGGTGAACTCGAACTTTGTCTACTAAAATAAATTAAACCATTTAATGAATAAACACAGAATGAATCATACTTTCAAAATTTCGGCACCGAACTTTATTTTTCTTTTATACCAATACATAGAAAATATAGTAAATATAAATAGATATTCTTTTATCAAAAGATGTTGTACTTGAAGAAATTACGCAGCGAAATGTCAACTGGAAAATTACTCTAATTAAATTCTTACGCCTTAAATTTCATTTCACATTAAGCAATATACTCAAACTACAACAGCCATATAATTTGAACATAACGGAAAGATAATTCCGGATAACACATTTTAGCGGTTTTTGAGACGCGTCTTGAGATATATATATATCGTTTTCGGGCTCTTTAAATGATTAATTTCCAAAGCTAATCGACCGTACACAATAAACTTCACCAATTTTCTATATTTTTCATCATATTTTATCGACCATAAACATTTACACCATTGTACGTTCGGCTTTTTTGGGCGCTGTCTTCTTCATGATTGTATAGCAAACAATTGACACGTAATAAGACACCAAGAAATATACTGCGAAGAAAAAATGAATATTGGATAGAATTTTGTGTAAAAGGAAGCATGTAAAATTGGAATGAAATGAAACCTGTCGGAACTGAAAAGTAAATTGAAACCAATTGGTGGTGATATTTCCGTTTATCATCTTTGTATTGTAATGTACTTGAGAATACGCAAACGATGACCAAGATCAAATTTATTGCCCAGAATACAAGCGATATCCGCATAAATCCAAATTTTGTTTTTTCGATGCCATAGAACCAGCAGTAACACGCCAATATATTGAAAACTGTAAAATAATTTGATTTCAAAGAAAAGAGTTGTTTCAGCGACTTCTCATGTTACTTTTCCATCAAGTCAGTAAAATGAATAGCAATATAATCGAATTTGCTCACCCGGTAATAGTGGAAGAACAGTTTCGTGTACGCTATGGCCAAAATGACCGGGATACTCGAAAATTATATAAATAAGACCACAGCTCACAAACACACTTAACCAACCAATTACCAGTGCTACGCTACGGCATATTCGCCAATCGGAACTTTCAACAGTCATTTTTAAATTGCAATACAATCGAACTCTGCGTCTTCTGAATGGAAAAAAATTAAAGTGCATTCAAAAATGCGACAAAAGAAACGCGGAAAAAAACAACAAGTCACTGTAGCCTTCAATTCGAACTGCTGTGAAATGTAAATAAGGCAACGACCAGAGAGTGTTATTCTGTTTGTTTTTCCACAGTTTGATGAATACTGCGTTGAAAGAATGCTGGCGTCAGCCATTGGAATGCGAATTGTACGAATCCCGGGGTGGTGTGAGAATGGAAATGAGACCGAAAATATAAATAGTTGTAAATATTATGTGTATCTTACCAGTTTTCCCTCCATCTGCGTAATATGATGACATCTCCAGTGCGTACGATGTATTGTAAAACATTCACACGCACGGAAGAGAGCAACGATGTCGGCATGGAAACACTAGCACAGATTGAGTCTTTGCGAAAATCAAACATGTTTTGTTTTTATAGAAAAGTACAAACTTTTGTAATTTATTCGAAGTATTTTTTTGAGCAAAAAGTGGATAACAAAAAGTAATTGTGCATTTGAGGGAAAAATTGTGACTTCATTAATGACATTTTTCTTCTTTTACTTTGATATTGCTTAATCATAATTGAATCGAATGAATTCTCCTTTCAAAATCTCCCGGCTGAAGCTAAATTTTCTCGAGGCCACTTTTCTCAAGATTCAGAGACGGTACCGTGTAAACATTCTGAACATTGAATCGTGAATCTTCTATTTCTCCTGGTCGGGTTATGAGCATAAACATGTAAATCAAGATGGCGATCAGATAAGATGTGATGAAAATAGCCGAATAAATGATGAGAAAATGTGGTTGTGTCATTGTCATTTCAAAGCGAACGGTTAGGTCATCTTCTTCGGTATTGAAATAATGCATATTATCGCCAGTGTTAACCGCATTTCTTCGAACTGGATTCCAAACGAAACGAATGCTGTAGAACATCGGTATGATCCAATAACAAATTGAAATTAACATGAATCTTGTTTTTACCTGAAAAATTGAAAAAAAAAAAAAATTACAATCGGATGGATGAAGCAAATGTTTCTTTTTAGGACAATATTAGGCACAATTTTAAAAATCGCTGCAATACCAATCGATATACTCACAATTGCCATTCCGTAAATCCTGAAAAATTAAAAGAAACAATCAAAAAAAGGATAAAAAGAAAATAAGACGAAACTAACCAACAAAGACACGCCAATAAATTCAAAGCTGCAACGATTTTCAGTAAATTAAAAGTTATTTGAATGAAAATAAGAAAAATTGAAAAACTCACTGAGAATTATAATGATTGGTAGCATCAATGTGCCGAAAATTTGCCAAGCATCAGTTCGAAATGTGAGAAAGAAGGTCAGGAAAAGACTTGCGAAGAAGCCCCATGCACCTAGAACCAGTCCAACCGCTCGCACTCCTGATCGGCAACTTTCCATTTTATTTCAAACTTCAACTGATGATAATCAACTGTGAGTATGTGGTGAAAGATTGTTATTTATCAAAAGAAATGAATTTAAATCATCGAATTTTTGTAAATGTATTTATTTCAACATGTTAGACGCGTTCAAGACAATAAACGATCAACCAGAAAGTCGAAATGAAACTATCGCTTTTTATTCGATACATTCAAAATACAGATATTGGTGTCATTTCTTTAAAGAGTGTGGGAGTATGGGTGTGTGGGTAATGGTTGTGTCAACAAGAATGATGGTGCGAATACTCTGTAACTACTCTAATTGATTAATTGAAGTTAATAGTCTTTAATTATGTAACCGAAACGAAGGGCTTAGACAGTGAATAATAAGTTTAAAGACTGATTATAAATTCATTCATGAAGATGAACAAGTCTGCAACTTGCGTAAATTATAATGATTCAGATTCATCTTATTTTACATGTTGAGTTCAGGAAATTTGATTCAGATCTAATTTTCAAAAAAAAAAAAAAATGTTCGGAAAAAGTTGAGTAAAATAGCTGCGGTATTTAGATTTTTTACTTTTCCGCACACACCGAGTGTCTAAGGTGTGTTTGTAAGTTGTATGATAAAGAGAGAAGTCTTTAGACTTCACAATAAAAAAAACTCTGATGAAAAAGTCGCAAACAATAGATCGAGAAAATTGAACTCTCTCTTTATTTTTTGGTTAATTATTTTTTGTAGAACTTTCAAACTCCGTATAAAATATCACAATTAACTTGACGTCACAAGCTAATAAATTTTTCTGAAATTTTAACACATAACTTTATAGTCATCTTAAAATTGACTTGAATCATTTTTGTTTGGTACACTTGTATCTTTTATTGAGTAATTTTATATTTCTTATAATTAAACATCAAATAAATTATAAAGAATGCACTCCATTTTTTAGATTTGAAAACATAACAACTTTCTTTCTCACCGATGAATAATTTCTGGCAACAATTTTAATCAACAAAACAGAAGGACTTTTGCTTTCCACAGATAAATTATAACTGCCAGAGACGTTCAACGATTCTCAATCGACACTGCAAAATTTGTTTCAAGTTGAAAATATAGAAGTAAGCGCTAATTGGAGTGAACATAAATAAACGCCCCAAGTTGATCTTAGTTGGCTTTTTAATAATCACTCGTATCACCGTAATATGCTATACTTGTATGATAAAGTGTTTTATGGAGATCGTCGCACACAAAAAATATGCGGTCAAATCGAAAGAAATATGCGGTTATTAAGTAGTGTGCTGTCAATTTTGAACCCAATGCGGTCATATTTTCATCATTTTTTTAAGTTTTTGTTCTAGAATTGACCGCAATTTCCTGCATTCTCATAGAAAATAAAATGTTTTACATCCGTAAGATGAACTTTTCCGCACTGTGA